TGGAGAACTTGGTGCATTCTACGTTTCCAAGTGATTCAAGGACTCACACTCAAGTTCAGCCAAAGCTGTTTGGTTTTTTTGTTTGTGGGACACTCTCAGATGTATCATATCTCCAGTTCCTTAGTCAAAGCTTTGAAGCACAAAACTCTATCAATACTGGAGCTAGAGTGATAGGACAGCAGGTAGGGTATTTGCTTTGCCTGCAGCCAATCTGGATTCAATGTCCAGCATCACATATTGTCCCCTGAGTACCACAAGAGATGATCCCTGGCATGGAGTGATAGCACATTGGGTAGGACATTTGCCTTGCATGCAGTCGACCCGGGTTCGATTCCCAGCATCTCATATGGTCCCCTGTGTACCGCCAGGCGTAATTCCTGAGTGCGGAGCCAGGAGTAACCCCTGAGCGTTGCCAGGTGTGACCCAAAAAGCAATAAATAAATAAATAAATAAATAAAATAATAAAACAAACCGGGGCTGGAGCAATAGCACAGCGGGGAGGGCATTTGCCTTGCACGTGGCCAACCCGGGTTCGAATCCTAGCATCCTATATGGTCCGGTCCCTTGAGCACCGCAAGGAGTAATTCCTGAGCGCAGAGCCAGGAGTAACCCCTGAGCATTGTCAGTTGTGACCCAAAAAGCAAAAAAAAAAAGAAAGGAGAGAGAAATGATCCCTCAGTGTAGAGCCAGGAATAGGCCCTGAGCATTGTCAGGTGTGACCCAAAAAAACTCTCTCCCCATTGGGTACAGTGAGAAGTGTTTTCTGTTTTTCAGCACCAAGAAGTCAGCCACTGCTCTCCTACAACTCCCTCCCACGGCTTCACCACACATGTTCACACATGCAAGTGCACGCACACACAGGTTGTCATCTGTGGTCACTGGGTGTGAGGGCTGGGTGTAATTATGCTATCAAGACGTGGTGAGATTTCCCAGAACAAAGCAGAGGACCTAGGCCCGTCTGGGTACAGACCGTGGGCACTGAGGAGGCACTGCCAGACTCTGATTAGTGGATCCCAACGGGCGCCACCAGGATGACTCACAGCAGGGAGGGAACGAACTGGGATGAGGTTTCTGGGACCACACTCCAAGCTGTCCCTTTGAATTAAGCTGCACCTCATCAAAAATGGGTGTGTGGATGTCCAGTCTCAAAGAACCAACCTCACTTTCTACTGCAATGCAACTGAAATAAACAGAACCTGGACCGGAGAGATAGCACAGTGGGTAGGGCATCTGCCTTGCACGCGGCAGACCCGAGTTTGATTCCCAGCCTCCATATGATCCCTGGAGCACCACCAGGAGTAATTCCTGAGCACAGAGCCAGGAGTAACCCCTGAGCAATGCCAGGTGTGGCCCAAAAACAAGAAGGAAGAGGAGGAGGAGGAGGAGGAGGAGGAGGAGGAGGAGGAGGAGGAGGAGGAGGAGGAGGAGGAGGACCTTTCTTCTCTGGAAGTGAGAAACTGTTTTCTGGTTTCCCAGGAATTTTCTGCTGGTAACTGATGACTAATGATCACCAAGTATGTAGCACTGTCCTCCCATTGTCCATCGATTTGCTTGAGCGGGCCCAGTAACGTCTCCGTTGTGAGACTTGTTGTTACTGTATTTGGCATATTGAATACGTCACAGGGAGCTTGCCAGGCTTTGCCATGCGGGCGAAATACTCTTGGTAGCTTGCCGGGCTCTCCGAGAGGGGCAGACGTATTGAACTCAGGTCGACCAAGTTGGCCACGTGTAAGGCAAATGCCCTACCACTGTGCTATTGCTCCAGCCCAAGAATAGACATAATTATAGACATATTATAATTATTATAATAGAACAAGTATGTATGTGGAGATTATGAAATGACTAAGAGCAAAAACACTCATGTGAAAACCTAGGAGATTTGAAAGGATTTTTCACTTTCACCTGGGGGAGGCGGGGAGAGAGAGGGAGGGAGGGAGGAAGGGAGGGAGACAGAGAGAGAGAGAGAAAGAGAGAGAGAGTCTGCAGCTGATGGACAGTTTGCGTATTGCATATGGTGGCATGCCCAGCACTGCAGCAGAGGCTGGGCATGGCCAAGGAGCTGGACACACTTTAGCTCTGGGCTCTGGTTTCCCGCTGCCATTAACTGGTAAGACATTTGTATACCTCTATCCTCACACACCACCTACACTACCTTGAAGACACTCACAGTTCAGGAAGGTTTCCAATACTCTGAAATGTTCTTGGCTCCTGAAAAGGAAGTATAACTTAGTATGGTGCATGTGGATGTAGAAAATCTGGGTTTGAATCCCACAAAAACTAATAAAAAAAAAAGGTCTATGACATAGAGCAAGTGTACGTAGCACTGTCCTCTAAGCTTCTGTTTTATCTGGTTATTGATTGTTTTGTAGTGCGTATGAATGCAATCATACATACAATGATCACAAATTGTATTGTATAGCTATTATACTGATGTGATGCATTTATAATGTACTATTCAGAAATTGCGTTTTACATAGCTGTATGAGGGACAGACCCAACAGTGTGTGGGAGCTACTTCTAGGTCCATGCTCAGGGGGTACCCCCTGCAGTGCTCAGAGGACCATGAGTGGGGGGGACCAGGGGGTTGAGCCTGGCCCTTCTGCAAAGTAAGTGCTCGGCCTTGCATTATCTCTCTGCTGTTTCTAACTCTGGTTTGTTTCTTAAGCTTTAGCTCCCCGACCCCACCCCAACACATCTGAAATATGTGCGTAAGCTCGAGTTGGACTGCAACTGGCTTTCAAAAATCAACTAAGGTTTGCGCTGAGGAGCCAGAAGCTAAGGGCACCGCGACCAGCTCAGTGACTGGGAAGTCGAGAACCTGCCTCCTCTCCCTTCCGGCTGCATTGAGCGTTTATGCAGGAACAAAAGCACCGTTAAATAGAACGCAGAAACATCCCACCTCTCACTAGGGAAGCAAGTTCTATGCCCGCTGGTCACCGACTCTGGAAAATAGGGGTGTGTGTGAACATTTGTGAATGTGAGCAGAAATGTGTGTGTTTGTATCTGTGTGTGAGTGGATGTGTATGTATGCACCCTTGTATGTGCGCGTGTGTGTGCATGTCTGTCTGTATGTGTATGTGTGTATGAGTGACCGCAAATGTGTGTGCATGAGTATGTGTGCATTTGTGGGTACATGTGTGAATGCATGTGTGTATGCGTGTGTGTATGTGTGTGATTGAGTGTATGTGTGTATTACGAGTGTATGTGTGTACATGTGAGTGTATGTGTGTGATTGAGTGTGCTTGGTGTGAGTGTATGTGTGCATGTATGCTAGAGTGTATGCTGTGTGTGTATGTTCATATGTATGTGTTCTTGTGTATACGTGTGTGCAGTTGTATGACTGAGTGTATGTGTGTGTTAGTATGTGCATATGTAAATGTGTGTATGTGTGTGTATGTGTGCAATTGAGTATGCAAGTGTATGTGTGGAACTGTGTATTTGTGAGTGTATGTGTGTAATTAAGTACATGTATATGTGCATCCATGTGATTGAGTGTGTATTGTGAATCTATGTGTGTGACTGAGTGTATGCATGTGATTGAGTGTGTATGTGTGAGTGTATCTGTGTGACTGAGTGCATTGTGCGTGCGTGTGTGCGACTGAGAGTCTGAATGTGTGCATGTGCATGATCGAATGTGTGTAAGTGTATGTGTGTGATTAAGTGTGATGTGTGTTAGGTGTGATTGAGTGTGGTTTGTGTAGTGTGTGATTAAGTTTATGCATGAGTGCACATGTGTGACTGAAGGTATGTATCTGCATGTGTGTGATTGCATATATGTATGTGTGTAGCTGAGTGGTGTGTGTGTGTGTGTGTGTGTGTGTGTGTGTGTGTGTGTCCCTGGCCCCCATTCGTCTCAGAAGGACTTTGGGGAGGCGGACAGGGAACATAGGGGCCGAGGTTCTCAGGCCTTCGGCTTCAGGTGGCTGGTCCTTTGCAGGAAGTTGTCCCCAAAACTGGGGGGGTGCGGAGTACCAGGCCTGTGTTCGCTGCCCCCCCCCACCCCCCGCGCCACCACCACCACCCCCCGCGCCACCACCACCACCCCCCCCCGCCCCCGGGTCCTGCTCGAGGCTCTGCAGATCCTTCATGCGCGACCCGCAATTCCTGCGGACGGACTCCGACTGAGCCGAGCCGCCTGGACGGGCACGCCCCACCCTGCACGGGCCTTCCCGGCGGTCCCGACACCACGCGCAGGTGCAGCCCCTCTGGGCGCTGCTCACCCCGTTTCTGCCCACCTGGGGGAGAGCAAAGAGGCGTCCCCGGCCGGCGCGGCTCTGCCCGGGCTGGCACCTGGCTTGGCCTTCCCGGGCGCCCTCGGAGACCTCGGCCGCCCGGAGCGCGATTGTGCAAGCTCCGGGCTGCAGCGGCGGCGGCGGGCAGGGCCGGCTCACACCCGGTGAACTCGGGGCGCAGCGCCTCGCCGGGGGTTATCTCCGGGGTGGAGTCCTGGGCGCTCGGGTCGCCCGGCGCCCTCGCTCACCTCGCTGACTCCATCCGATTTCCACCCCCAGCCCCGGGTTCCGCGTCCCCGCGGGCCCACCCCGCCGCTCCCCGCCCGCTCATTGGCCACCCGGCTCGGGCCCGGCTTCAATAAATGCCAGGACCGCGCGGCCCAGCGCAGCATCCCCGCGGCGGCTGGCCTGGACCCGCGGACTCACGGCGAGGCGGACTCGGCCGTGCACCCGACGACCCGCGTTCTGTCCCCGAGGTCCCCGAGGGAGAGAGCGAGCGAGAACCCCGCGTCCCCGGTGCACGCCTGCAGCAGCCCGTGCGGCCGGCAGCTCTGGGCGGACACTGGCGCCCGGTCGCCCCTCCAATCGGCTGAAGCATCCTCGCCGGCATCCTTCCTTCTCCTCGACCCCTCTTGGTCCCCCCCGACGCCGCCCCTGCCTGCTCGCTTTGCCTCTCGCGCGGGCGCCCCGGGACCGTCCGACCTGGCCAGGCGGCTGCGAGCGCCTCTGTGGACAGGTGCTTCCCCGTGCCGGGGCTCCCCAGCTGCCATGAGCTCCCTCATGGGTCCGAGCCGCTCCTTGGTCGCCTTCCTGCGCCACTTGCGCATCCTCGGGCCGCCCCCCCAACCTTTGTCACCTGCGCGCGCGCCCCCGGAGCCGCGGGCGGTCTCCCGCGGCTGCCCGTGGATGGAACGCGGCGCGCATCCCCCGGCGGCCGCCCTGCCCGGCCCCACCAACTGGCCACTGCTGGGCAGCCTGCTGGAGATCCTCTGGAAAGGGGGGCTCAAGAGACAGCACTATACGCTGGTGAGTGCCAGGCGCGCCCCGGTGTCCCACCCGCGCGCGCGCAGAGACGCACGCACCGTGCACAACTGATGGGCGCGGGAAAGCACAAGCGTGTCCCGGGGGCTGGGGAGTGGGAACGGGGCGCCCTGACCTGGAACTCTGCCTGCAGGCCGAGTACCACAGGAAGTATGGCAAGATCTTCCGCATGAAGCTGGGCACCTTCGACTCGGTGCACCTGGGCTCCCCGTGCCTGCTGGAAGCGCTGTACCGCACCGAGAGCGCCCACCCGCAGCGCCTGGAGATCAAACCCTGGAAGGCCTATCGCGACCACCGTGCCGAGGGCTACGGGCTGCTGATCCTGTGAGCGTGGGAGCTGGGAAGGGGAGATGGGGGTGGGGCGGGGGTGTTCCTCTCCCGCAGGGTGGCGGGCACCCGGTGCCAGGGCCGGCTGGTGTGCAGCCTAGAGAGGGTTTCACCTCCTCTCTGGCACTCAGCCCTTCAGGAGCCTCAGGCCACCGGGCGACTCACTCTGCGGTGCTGGGACCGAGTCCCACAGACTCTAGAGTCTGCTCAGTTCCCGCTGCAGTCCCCTGGTCTGAGCCAGGTGTGACCACGGCTTTTCTTTCTGGAGGCAGAAGGGGGTTCAGGACACAAGAGGACTTAGGAGATGGCCGTGCTGGGGGCGAGGGGCCGTATTTGAGCCGGTGGTCACCAGACTGTGCTTTTGAACTGAGAACATTCAGCAAGTGAGTGAGCTTGAGGGTGCAGGTGGCTGGTCCTCTGCAAGGAGGTTGTCCCCCAAGCTGGGGGACCGGAGTGTGCCAAGCTTGTGTTACTGTACACTTTGAACCCCAAGTTATAGGGCTGCATAGTTGGGGGGCTGGGTGGTCCTCTGGGGTAGGGGTAGGGGAATGTGGCAAGTGTGAAGGGATGGGAGCCGGCTTTTGACAGCTGTAGGAGTTTTGTGCCACTACGTTTTTTCTTGGTTTATTTATTTATTTATTTATTTTGCTTTTTGAGTCACACCCAGCGATGCACAGCGGTTACTCCTGACTCTACACTCAGGAATTACTCCTGGTGGTGCTCAGGGGACCCTATGGGATCCTGGGGATTGAACCCAGGTCAGCTGCGTGCAAGGCAAACGCCCTACCTGCTGTGCTATTGCTCTGGCCCTGTGCCACTAAGTTTTATAGTGTCATCTTTATTTATTTTAATTATTTTATTTTATTTATATATTTTTTGCTCTTTTTTAAAAATTTTTTTATTAGAGAAACACCATGAGGTACAGCTGTAGACTTACAAATTTTTGTGCTTGGCTTTCAGTTATACAATGATCGAGTACCCAGCCCTCCACCAGTGCCCGTTCTCCACCACCACTGATCCCAGTAGCCCTCCCACCCCTCATGCCCCCCCCCATCCCACCCTGCCTCTGTGGCAGGGCATTCCCTTTTGTTCTCTCTCTCCTTTTGGGTGCTGTGGTTTGCAAAAGAGGCATTGAGTGGCGATCATGTTCGGTCTATAGTCTTTTAACCAATACCAGTGGGTGCAGCAGAGGCCAGTGTTTTCCTCCAATGGGACCCCCAGGGAATGGGGGCTCTCAGACTCACTCTCACTACCCCCTTACCCCCCATCAGAACCAACTCCAGAGCTCTGAATCCAAAGGACACGGGACTTCACCTTTTGGCACTCAAGGGCTGGGGGTGGGCTGGGGTGCTTTCACCCCAATTGTTGAGCCAGCCTCAACATGGCAATGCCAAGCTAGCTTTGCTGACCGGTCCTGGACACGGTCTCAGCGTGCTGACAGGTCACCATTCGGTCACCACACCTGTGGGTGTCCACACGGTCACTCTGTGCTCCTCTCCTTTATCTCCTTTATTCCCCGGTGTCCCGGATGGGACCCAGGGCTCAGGTGGGAAGCCTTTGCTTCACGCATCTCCGGTGGAGCGACACCCCGACCCTCCTCCTCCCCTCTGGTTGCTGTAAGTCCTACCTCTGCTCCCTCCCCAGGGAAGGGGAAGACTGGCAGCGAGTCCGGAGCGTCTTCCAGAAGAAACTCATGAAACCCGTGGAAATCATGAAGCTGGACAAGAAGATCAACGAGGTGAGGGGGCTGGAGTCCCCTTTCTTGGGTCCCTGGGGACAGACCAGGGCTAAGGGAAGTTCAAGTCTCACGAACAAGGAGCAGAAGGGTAGGCGAGCCATTGGATGATGCAGGGGTCTTTCCTTTTCCCTTATTTCTCTTCGTGCCCTTCTCCCCACTAGCCTTCCCCTAGCCTCACTTTTCCAGTCAGTATAATGGGCGTGGCTCCACAGGTTCACCATGGAAGTTAAATGAGATCATGCTTCTAGAAAGGAAATTTGAGCTGGGTTTTGCAGGATGGGTAGGAGTGTGCAAGCTTGAGACGCTTGTTCACCCAGACACAGAGAACAACCTGCCAAAGATGAGGAGGCGGGAGAGAGAACAGGGTGTCCTCTGGGAACTGTCTGTGCTCCTGAACTGAGGCCTCTCTGAAGGACGCTGGCCAGAGGGCAGTTCTTGGCAACATTTGAACGTTTGGGGTTTTTTTTTATACCATGTGAAGAAACATGGGCATTACCCTTTGGCCATCAGGGAACCCAAGATGGCGGAATTTAAGCAGTGGGCGAGCCACTTTTTACTCCTGCTCCTTGTGGGCGCTTATGTTAAACTAAACATGGATCCAGATATCCAGAGGAAGGAATGAAAACTCAGAAGCATTGAGGGAGCAAGGCATCCACTGAAATGCACGAGGCGAGCCCTTTCTTTCTTTCTTTCTTTCTTTCTTTCTTTCTTTCTTTCTTATTAGTGAAACACCATGAGGTACAGCTGTAGACTTACAAACTTTCGTGCTTGGGTTTCAGTTATACAATGATCCAATACCCATCCCTCCACCAATGCCCATTCTCCACCACCAATGGTCCCAGTAGCCCTCCCACCCCCCCACCCCATTCCCTCCCACCCCACCCAGCCTCTGTGGCAGGGCATTCCCTTTTACTCTCTCTTTCCTTTAGGGTGTTGTAGTTTGCAATAGAGTTATTGAGTAGCCATTGTGTTTGGTCTATACTCTACTCTCAGCACGCATCTCACATTCAGTGTGAGTCCTCCAAACATCCTTTACTTGGTGTTCCCTTCTCTGTCTTATCTGAGCTGCCTTTCCCCCCAGCATGTGCTGCCAGCTTCCAAGCCATGGAGTAGACCTCCTGGTACTTATCTCAACTATTCTTGGGTGCTCAACTCCCATTCTGTTGCTTTCTATTCCCCAGATGAGTGCAATCTTTCTATGTCTGTCCCTCTCTTTCTGGCTCATTTCACTGAGCATGATACTTTCCATGTAGAACCACTGGTATGTAAATTTCATGACTTCATCTTTTCTAACAGTTGCATAGTATTCCATTGTGTAGATGTACCAGTTTCTTTAACCAGTCATCTGTTCTCAGGCACTTGGGTTTTTTCCAAATTTTGGCTATTGTGAACAGTGCAGCAATGAACATAGAAGTGCAGATGTCATTTCGACTATACTTTTTTGAGAAGGCGGGCTCTTTCGGCAGACAGAGCAGTGCGCGGTCCTTTCTAGAAGGGGCAGTGGTCATAGATGGAGCGAATGGGCCATGTGGGATTGCACCTCCAGTACCCACCAGTTCTTCCGGTGACTATTATTATCACTAATGCCTCTATGCTTTGATGGAGCAACCCTGGGAAAGTTGTATATTTATGCAAACACTCTGGATTTCTACATGGTAACAAATTCAATAATGATTTTATTTGTTTTTTTTGTTTGTTTGTTTTTTGTTTTTGGGTCACATCTGGAGCGATAGCACAGTGGGTAGGGCGTTCGCCTTACAAGCGGCCAACATGGCCGACCCGAGTTCGATTCCTCCGCCCCTCTCGGAGAGCCCGGCAAGCTACCGAGAGTATTCGATATGCCAGACACAGTAACAACAAAGTCTCCAATGGAGACGTTACTGGGCCCGCTCGAGCAAATCGACGATCAACGGGAGGGCCTTTACTTTACTTTACTGGCGATGCTCAGGGGTTACTCCTGGCCCATGCACTCAGGAATTACTCCTGGAGGTGCTCGGGGGACCATATGGGATGCTGGGAATCGAACCCGTGTTGGCCATGTTGGCTGCGTGCAAGGCAAACACCCTACCTGCTGTGCTATCGCTCCAGCCCCTCAATAATGACTTTATCGCACAATGCAATTGAACTGGATGAGCCCACTGCTTGCTTTACTGAACTTCATCGTCATCCAGACCCACCTGCAGTTCCAGCAAGTCTCTGTGTGTTCAAAGCCTATTTCCACATTAGTGACCTCATGGGGGTTCAGTAGGACCCTCTACCCAGTAAACTGTTGAGAGACTCAGTGAGGGTAACGTCCTTATATTGTACTTAGTATCACACAAGCCTCCTTAAGTAAGAGACACTAGTCAGGCTTGACCTGGATTTTTTTTTAAACTTAGTCACTGAATTATAGTGTTTTTTTATGGTTGGGTTTCAGGCATACGATGTTCCAACACCAATCCCTTCATCAGTGTCTGCTTCCCTCCAAACGCAAATTTTGCAAACTGGCAAGTAGAAGCCTTCTAGACCAGACTCAAGCCACCCCCCCCCTTTTCATGTGTCAGAAGAGTGGGGAGTTGGGTCTTGTGTCTTGAGTTTTTCTGGCTACAAACTCAACATGAGTAACACAATTCCAACCAACGCGTGGGGAGCTGTTTGCTTGCTCTGCTGTGGAAGGTACAGACCTCAGGCTTCTCAGAGTGCCGGACATGCTGTACTGCCAATGTGCTAACCCCCCTTCCCACTAAAAAAAAAAAAAACGGTTTCCCTTCTTAGACTGAGACCAGAGGGCTGAAATGGAAACTTCTGGATAGCCGCAGAGAGAACTGGGAAGGAAAGCACAATAAAGGTGTGAGAGCTTAGGGCCAGCTCTTGAGTGCAGAAGAGAGAATTTATGCGGCTTCAGAACCACCAAGGGTGTGGGTGGGGAACAGACCACGGCCAGACCTGAGGTTGGTGGAGAATAGAATGTGCCTCCGCCATCCGCCTCTGATGTGTGTCTCGGTGCTCTCTTCAAGGTCTTGGCGGACTTTGTGGGAAGACTGGATGAACTCTGTGACGAGCGAGGCCGCATTGCCGACATCTACAGCGAGCTGAACAAGTGGTCCTTTGAAAGTGAGTCCCCAAGGCCGGAGCAATAATACAGCGTGTAGGGTGTTTGCCTTGCACGCAGCTGACCTGGGTTCGATCCCATGTGGTCCCCCAAGCACCGCCAGGAGTAATTCCTGAGTGCAGAGCCAGGAGTAAGCCCTAAGCATCGCTGGGTATGACCCAAAAAGGAAAAAAAAATGAGCCCCTTCTGTTGCTGGTCCAGAGGGTCATATATGGCTCTGGTTCTGTGCTGACTGTTGCCCAAGAGAAACCCTCTAATGCTTTCTGGCACTTACGTAAGCAGTTAGTCACTCAAAAAACTTCGGCTGAATCCATGTGAGGTGAAGGGCACTAAAAATGCAGCAAGTGAGTGAAACAGGCATCCTAGGGACGGGGGGTTGTCGCACAAGTGGTGGAGCACTTGCCTGTGTGAGGCCCTGAGTTTGATCCTCACCTGCCTAGCCATCCCTATCACATAGCTGGATGTGGCTCTCAAGAAATCCAAAGTAATAGACCAGAGGCCAACTCACAGAGCTGAGATAGGCAAAACCACATAAGCACACCTGAGTCCCTACTCGGAAGGGAACAGCCACAGGGGGCCCGAAGGAGGCCGGCTGGCTTGGTGAGGAGATATCTGCAATGAGATGAACGGGAATCGGGAAGAGAATCAGTGGGAAGGAATTTTTAGGTAGTGGCATGGGAAGGACTAAGCCCTGCAGCAGAAGCTCCAGACTCCCTTTGAGTAGAAGCAGAAACGGGGGTGATTGGACTGTAGGGCAGTGAAGGGTAAGTGTGGAGGATCCCATGAGGGTCTTGCTGATCCCAGCCAGAAATGTTTAGTTCAAGACAGATGGGGACCCCTGGGCTGGGGTCCCCAATAGAAACAGATAATTTTACTTTCTCCAGAGAATCCAAGGGGGTTAGCATGATGCGTGTGTGGTTATGGGAATGTGGAGGGTGATGGGGGGGGGGGGGGTGTCCTGAGGTCTGTGAGGCTATGGAGATGACCCCCACAGGAGGCTTTGTGGAGACCCATCTCTCCCATCTGTCAGCCTCACTTTGCAAATTAAAAAATAATACAGGGGCTGGAGTGATAGCACAGCGGGTAGGGCGTTTGCCTTGCATGAAGCTGACCCGGGATCGATTCCCAGCATCCCATATGGTCCCCCGGGCACCGCCAGGGGCAATTCCTAAGTGCAGAGCCAGGAGTAACCTCTGTGCATTGCTGGGTGTGACCCAAAAAGCAAAAAAAAAAAAAATCCAAAGGACATATGGAGGGAAAGAGGAATGAAGTGGGGGAGATGGAGAGGAAGTGAGCTAGGAAACCGTCTCCTGGAAGGGACTGAGGATCAGGGAGAGGAGGAGGATACTGGGGGCTTAGTCCCAACGCAGCCTGCCCGAGCCAACTGCCCAAGCCCCCAAAGCAATGGGGTTGCTGTTCCCGGTCAGCGGGTAAAAGAAGTGTACCCCAGCCTCGGGTTTCATGGCCAGACTCTGGCCTGGCTGCACCAGGGAATGCTCATTTGCTGCAGAGAACCCCAGGCTGACTCACAGCAGAGACCCCTCGCAAGGCTGAGATCTCTCTGGGCTGCCTGCTGAGGTCAGACCCCGTCCCTGAGCACCAAAATCACAGTGGGGGTCCTCTGAGGGAAGAATGAGCTGTGGGTGAGCCACGAACAATGTCTGAATCTCATCAACCAACAGATGCAAGATTAATCCCGACATCACACTTTGGTGCAGTAGCAGAACATACCTGCGCCTGCACACAGTTGAGCCCAGCCAGCGCTGACCTCAGTCCCTTGGCTCCTGGCGATCTGTCTGTCCATTGCAGGCCAGTGACCAGCAGTCAGGTCACTGGGCCTGCAGATAATTTCTAGAAAGAGAAGCAAGTGATAGCATCTTTATCCCAGACTCTCCCATTCTGTTGTCTGCTTTTGTGCATGGTTATTCCTCCCCCGCCCCTCCCAGAAACCCCCAAACGGTCATGAGAGCAGACAGTGAGCTTGCTCTAGTCCCTGGTCCCTGTCTCGGCCTCACTGTGCCACTGTCTCTAAATCACAGGCATCTGCCTCGTGCTCTACGAGAAGAGGTTTGGGCTCCTACAGAGGAACACGGACGCCGAAGCTCTGGACTTCATAGCGGCCGTTAAAACAGTGAGTTGTGGGCCGGAGTGATAGTACAGCGGGGAAGGCATTTGCTTTGCACATGAATGGCCCAGGTTCGATCCCGGGCATCCCATATGGTCCCCTGAGCACCGCCAGGTGTGATTCCTGAGTGCAGAATCAGGAGTCACCCCTGAGCATCCCCAAGTGGGGCCCCCACAAAAAAACCCACAAACAACAGTGAGTTGCCCCTACGGGGAGGGCAGCCCCCCAATAATCATAGGTCTCTCCCCAAATCATGCAGGCACATTTTATAATGAGAGGAAGAGTTCATTTTTTTTGGAGGGAGGGGACCTTCCCGGTGGTGCTCAAGAACTTACTCCTGGCTCGGTGCTCAGGGATCACTACAGGCAGGGCTTGGGGGACCCTACGCAGTGGTGGGGACAGTCACACGTAAGGCAAGTGCTATCTTGTCCTCCATGCTAACTCTCTAGCTCCAGAAAATGCTGGTTTAAGGGGAAACGGTACCTTTGCATGACATAGATCTTAAAGCAGCAGCTTTAAGGCAAATTCCCAGAGACACCCCAACCAAAGGTCAGATGATTCGATCCACTTTGCTTTGCAGAGCTGGACATTTGCACAATCTCAGGGGTCTCGGTGGTCCGTGCTCTGCACTGTACAGCTGTTGAAGGCAAGGGGCAGGGGTCTGAAGTTTGCCCGTGATTGGAAATCAAGGCTAATGGGAAACTGAGGTGAGGTGAATAGTTTTAAATCCCGAGAAGAAGCTTCTAACGACACAGTGAGAGATGTTAAATAAAACCCCACGGAGCTAGTTTTCAATGCCAGTGGCTTAGAGAGGGGACCCGCTCAAGGACAGGGGCAGAGAGGCCTGGCAAGAACAGATCTTGGCAGAGTTGGGGAGCCCGAGAGGCCATGAGGAACCCCCACTGCAGTGGGTGGTGAGCGAAGCCACGATGCTTGTTTCCACAGATGATGAGCACGTTTGGGAGGATGATGGTCACCCCAGTGGAACTGCACAAGAGCCTCAACACCAAGGTGTGGCAGGAGCACACGCGGGCCTGGGACACCATCTTCACGACAGGTGAGGACACGTGTGCCCCAAACTGCCTTGGATGAGGACTGGTTTCTGGGCTGGCCACCTGGGTCTTCCGGTGCCATGGCCCTTCCTGTTCCTTGATTTTTTTTTTCTTTTTGGATCACACCCGGCGATGCACAGGGGTTCCTCCTGGCTCTTCACTCAGGAATTACTTCTGGTGATGCTCGGGGGACCTTATGGGATGCTGGGAATCGAACCTGGGTCGGTCGTGTGCAAGACAAACCCCCTACCCACTGTGCTATTGTTCCAGCCCCCCCTTTTTTTTTGCTTTTTGAGTCACACCCCCTTCCTGTTCCTTGGGACTCTGTAAGCTTCTGAGTTTGACTGAACTAGACAGATTCTGGTAGGACAAGGCAGGGCTGGCCACGAAAACGGTAGTTCAGGTCCTCGGGGGCAGAGCAGTAGAAAGTGAGGGCTTTGGAGAGCCTAGGTCCCAGGTTCAAGACCCCTGGGGGTGATGGCTGGTCACATGTGCTCCCCTTTCAGCCTTAGTGGCTTCGTGAATCCTTAGCAGATCGGGCGTTGACAAACCCGCTCCCTGCACCTTTCATTCCCTCCAGCTGGCAGGACTGTCCCCCAAATGTCATCTGAGGCCACGAGGAACGTCCAGTGTGGTGTTCTCTTTGCTCAGCCTCACTGCCCCCTGACTCCCTCTCGCCTTCCTTGCCTCCAATAGTCAAGGCTTGCATCGACAGCCGGTTAGAGAGATGCTCGGAGCAGCCCCACACAGACTTCCTTTGGGACATCTATCGCCATGGCTCCATCTCCAAGAAAGAGCTGTACGCCGTGGTCACCGAGCTGCAGCTGGGCGCGGTGGAGACGGTAAGGGCACCGCACTCATGAAGCCATCGCCAAATGCTTGTTCATGTTGAGTTTGAAAAATAGGTTCCAGGGGCCTAGGCAATAGGACAGCAGGTAAGGCGCTGGCCTTACACACAGCCGATCTGGGTCAGTCTCCAGCACCACATCTGGGTCCCCAAGCCCCGCCAGGAGTTAGCCCAGAGCACTGCTGGGTGTGGCTTGAAAAACCAAGTAAAGGCCTTCCCGTTGTTCATCGATTTGCTCGAGCGGGCCCAGTAACGTCTCCATTGGAGATTTTGTTGTTACTGTGTTTGGCATATCGAATCCATCACGGGTGGCTTGCCAGGCTCTGCCGTGCGGGCGAGATACTTTCGGTAGCTTGCCGGGCTCTCCGAGAGGGGCGGAGGAATCGAACTCAGGTCGATAATGAAGCAATAGACATCCCTCTCAATGTACAGGGTCTAACTGAGCACTCGCTAAGCAGAAGTAAGATGTCTCCTGCTCAGTTTAGGGGACTGTCTGATGTGGTGGGGGCGGTCTTTCTGCTGAGATGTTGGAGAACATAGACTCCCTGAGCACTTGTGATGAGCACAGGGTCATGTGCTCAGGCCACCCCCAGGCCCCAACACGGTAAAAGTGACCCCAAAATGTAGGATAGTACAGCGGGGAGGGCGTTTGCCTTGCACGTGGCCCACCTGGGTTCGATTCCCACCTGGGTTCAATTTCCAGCATCCCATATGGTCCCCCAAGCATTGCCAGGAGTAATTCCTGAGTGCAGAGCTAGAGGTAACCCCAGCATCACCGAGGGAGTGCATGCCAGTAGCTAGTTAAAAGTCCATGTGATGCAGAATTGATGGCTGAGATTTTGAAAAACTGGATATGTGGTTATCTATGCCAGCCTATAGTGCTTAACTGAGGCTTTAGTTACTGTAAAAATGTTATTGAAGCTCTTTGACAAACCAATATTTTTTCTGCCTAAAACTGAGGACTTCGGGGTTACAGGAAGATAGGACAGTAGCTAGGGCACTTCCCTGGCATGTATCATAGCTGTTTTGACCCCTGGTAGTATATGGCCCCCAGTCTCACCAGCTGTAGCCTTGGAGTCAGCCTCTGTCACCTCCAGGTAAGGCCCTGAGGACTCCTGAGGACTCCAGGTGACCTCGGACACCACCAGGGCCAAAGTGGCCCCACCTCCTCAGTCCCTCACATTGTGCCACTGGCCTTGTAAATCAAGAATCACTGGAGATGTTCCCTGGAACCCCTGAGCATAGCTTGGGGGGGCTCCCAGACCCCAAATTGCATTTAGGGACTGAGAATGACTCAAGTGACCAAGCTCATGCCTTTTTCGTCTGGGTCTGATCATGTCCCCACCCCCAGGCCCCAGCACAGTAAAGGTGACCCCAAAATGTAGGATAGTACAGCAGGGAGGGCCTTTGCCTTGCACGTGGCCCACCTGGGTTCGATTCCCACCTGGGTCCGATTCCCAGCATCCCATATGGTCCCCCAAGCATTGCCAGGAGTAATTCCTGAGTGCAGAGCTAGAAGTAACCCCAGCATCACTGAGTGTGACCCAAAGAGCAATAAAGAAATAAATAAATAAGAAGCCACAATTGGGTCATGCCACAGCATTGGGTGGAGAGAGCTTTGATGGGAAGAACTCTGAACTGAGCAGAAACACCAGCCCCAGAGAGAGCTGGTGGAAGAGCACTTCCAGTAGAGGTACCCACATGTGTAAAGGTCCTGGGGCCAGAAAGGGGGTGCTGCAAGTCAGTGTGATTGACTGACCATTTAGCCAGGAGCCTTAGCCTGGGATTTGGGGTGTCATTATGCTGCCATGGGGAGCCCTGAGGAGCACTGAGCAGCAGGGCAGATGGAATGTGATAGAATTCAGATTTTTAAAAGTTGGGAAAAGGCTGGTGGGTGGAGGAGTCAGTTCAAGGGGCGGAGTTGCTGGGAGCCGGGCTCTGCCGTCTGCTGCTTCCCAGAGGTCAGGCAGGGACAGCCGTGACCTGAGGTTCCCCAGCCACGTCCCCAGGGTGCACCCTGCAGTTACCCTCGGCTGGCTGTCCTATGGGGCTCTGGTGAAGGCAGCAGTTATCTGCCTTCGGGAAACGCTTTGCCACTTGCGGTGAGAGGCGGCCTGATATGGTTAAACGTTTCCCTTTCTGCCCTCGGCCGTTCTGATCGTTCTGGCCGTCGCCTTGGGAAGACTGGAGAAATCTGAAGGGTGTCTAATTTGGCGGCCTGGCCCTGCCCTCTTCCTGTGGCGCACCCCCAGTTTCTGTGCGGTGGGGCCGTGTTCTCTGACAGGAGAGCTGCTGCCCTGGAGGCATCTTCGTCCCAAAATAATCAGACTTACGGGCTCTGAGATGCTGTCGGGGGCCAGCTCGGGAGAGGAGGAGGAGGGCCCCCGAGCCAGTGTGTCCTCTAGTCTGCAGAGGAAAGACCCAGTGATGACGTGGAGGGGAATGTTGGACTCAGTTTAGCTCCAGAAGATGAAAGGTTCGAAACCCAAATTCAGGGGGTGAATTTCAGCATTATGATGCTGAAGGCTACTCTGACTCTTTCTGTCTCTTACTCCTTTCTTCTCCCAGCCTCGAAAGGAAATAACAGATGTCACTCAGAGAGATTGTGCAGCACTTAGGGTACTTGCCTTGCCCACAGCCAACCTGATCCAACCCCCAGCACTCCAGATGGTCTAGTGCCACTGTGCCACTCTCAATTTTTTTCAATTTTTTTTTTTTTTGCTTTTTGGGTCATACCTGGTGATGCACAGGGGTTACTCCTGGCTCTGCACTCAGGAGTTACTCATGGCGGTGCTCAGGGGACCATATGGGATGCTGGGAATCGAACCCGGGTCGGCCATGTGCAAGGCAAACGCCCTACCCGCTGTGCTATCTCTCCAGCCCCAAATTTGTTTTATTTTAATTTGGTTTTTGGGACCTGGCACTGCTCAGGGGTTATTCCTGGCTCTGCATTCAGGGATCACTCCTGGTAGGGAGGGGTGGGCCCTATGGAACATGGGAGATTGAACCTGGGTCGGTCATATACCAGACAAGTTCCTTACTTGCTGTATCTCTATTAATTTCCTTCTCCTTTTTTTTTAACATTAGTAATTCTGAATTAAGATTTGTTTTGGTTGTCATTTCAAGGAAATTGTTTCCACTTCAATCCAACTGTCTGTTTTGAACTCCAATGTGGATCTCTGTGCTATTTTTTTATTTTTTTGCTTTTTGGGTCACACCCAGCAATGAACAGGGGTTCCTCCTGGCTCTGCGCTCAGGAGTTACTCCTGGCGGTGCTCAGGGGACCCTATGGGATGCTGGGAATCGAACCCGGGTCGGCCGCGTGCAAGGCAAACGCCCTACCCGCTGTGCTATTGCTCCAGCCCCTCTCTGTGCTATTTTCACGGAGGAAGTAGGCCCAGTTTTCTTATTTGTTTTCTAGGCTCCCCAAGGAAAACATCTCCCCAGCAAGGAAGCATTGTCCCCACAAAAACCCGCACCCTCCAATTCACACGCAGCTTTTTTTTCTTTGCTTTTTGGGTCACACCCAGCAATGCTCAGGGGTTATTCCTGGCCCTTGCACTCAGGAATTACTCCTGGCGATGCTCAGGGAACCATATGCGATGCTGGGAATTGAACCCAGATTGGCCGCGTGCAAGGCAAATGCCCTACCTGCTGTGCTGTCACTGCAGCCTCTCACATGCAGCTTTATAAGCACTGATTTCATGCAAAACGTTTTCCCCCTATCAGATGATGTATTAAGTCTCCTAATGCCGCTCACCATTTTAAAGACTTTTAAGAGGCTTTCTTTATTATTGAAAAGATCCTGTTTGGATTTAGTCAGTGCACACTCTTCAGGAACAGGCTTAAGGGAAGCCTTTAAAAATCAGACTTTTCAAAAGGAGAGAGAAAGAGAGAGAGAGAGAGAGAGAGAGAGAGAACAAAAGGGAATGCCCTGCCATAAAGACAGGGTGGGATGGAGGGGGTGGGGGTGGGAGGGATACTGGGATCAGTGGTGGTGGAAAATGGGCACTGGTGGAGGGATGGGTACTCGATCGTGTATAACTGAAACCCAAGCACAAAAATTTGTAAGTCTAAAACTGTCCCTCATAGTGTTTCACTAATAAAAATTAAAAAAAAGAAAAAGAAAATTCACATACAGTCTAAATAATAGCAGGAAAAAATAAAATAAAAATCAGATTTTTCACTGTCATCTTTGTTTCAGGCAAAGAAAGAAAGGAGGGGTAGTGGCAGCCCAAGGGGTTTGCTGGCGCCGCCTTCTGTTCTGGTTAGAAATTCTCGTTCAGGCCCTTTCTGCGCAGACTCTCAAGTTCGTGCTCCTTTGACTTTCAGACGGCAAACAGTTTAATGTGGATCCTCTACAACTTATCTCGAAACCGCCACGCGCAGCAAAAGCTTCTGATGGAAATTCAGAGCGTGGTGCCTGCAAACGGCGAGCCGCGGGCAGAGGATCTGAAGAATATGCCCTATTTAAAGGCCTGCCTGAAGGAATCGATGAGGTGAGATGGGACAGAACTTCAGAGGCTGTTCTAGTTGGTGCAGGATAAGGTTCCCCATCTGTAGGCAGCTCCACGGTTGATTCGCAAACATCTGTCAAATGGCAAAGGAAGAGCGAGTCTTGGCCTGTAATTCTTTCTGTTACTCATTTTCTGAATCCTTGGGACAGCTTTGATTTCATCTTAGAAAGCCAGGGTCCTCAAGGAGAGAGAGAGAGAGAGAGAGAGAGAGAGAGAGAGAGAGAGAGAGAGAGAGAGAGAGAGAGAGGAGAGGAGAGAGAAGACAGAGAGAGAAGAGGAGAGGCGAGAGAGAGGGAAAGAGAGGAAAGAAGAGCAAGGAGAGAGAGAAGAGAGGAGGAGGAGAAGGAGGAGGAGAGAGAGACAGAGCGAGTCAGAGACAGAGAAGAGGAGAGGAGAGGGGGAGAGAGGAAAGAGGAGGGGAAAGAGAGAGAAGAGAGGAGGAGGAGTAAGAGGTAGAGGAGGAGAGGAGGGAGAGAGAGAGGGAAAGAGGAAAGAGGAGGGGGAGAAACAAAGACAGAGAAACAGAGAGAGAAGAGGAGAGAAAGAGAGGAGAGAGGGAGGAGAAAGGAAAGAGGAGGGAAGAGAGAAGAGAGGAGGAGGAGGAAGCAGAGGAGGAAGAGGAGGAGGAGGAGAGAGAGACAGAGAGAGACAGAGATGGAGGGGAGAGGAGGGGAGGGGAGGGGAGGGGAGGAAAGGAGAGGAGAGGAGAGGAGAGGAGAGGAGAGGAGAGGAGAGGAGAGGAGAGGAGAGGAGAGGAGAGGAGAGGAGAGGAGAGGAGAGGAGAGGAGAGGAGAGGAGAGGAGAGGAGAGGGGAAAGAGGAGGGGAGAGAGAGAAGAGAGGAGGAGGAGGAAGAGGGAGAGAAGGAGGAGAGGAAAGAGAGGGAGAGAAGGAGGAGAGGAAAGAGAGAGGAGAGAGAGAGAGAGGAGAGAAAAGAGCCTGCCATAGAGGCAGGCTGGGGTTGACACTGGTGCTGGGAAATGTACACTGGTAGATGGATGGGTATTTGAATACTGTACGACTGAAACCTAACCATGAATGGCTTTGTAAGGGACTATCTCTCAGTGGTTTAAAAATAAATAAATCCAGGATCCTACCCTAAACCCAAAGAGAATAACATGTGAACGCATGCTCCAGGCCCTTCTGTGGGCGAGGGGCAGGGCTGGAGGATGGGAACCAAGAACACTCAGCGCGGAAACCGCATCATTACCCCATGAGACCCAGAGACCACTTGGTTGATGAGCCTAGGGAACAGAATGTTCTGGGGAAATTCTTTTTATTTTTTTTTTCCTTCTGGAAAACAAAACTCAAATTTTAGGATTAGAAGGAGGGAGCTTAAACTTCACGAAGGGGCAGGCACTAGAAACCCAACCAAGGATTGCTCTTAATGGTGAAACATAGAAAAGACACACAAGGGGCCAGAGAGATGATACAACAGGAAGGGCATTTGTCTTGTACCCGGTCAAGCCGGGTTTGATCTCCAGCATTCCATAGGGTGCCCTGAGCACTGCCAGGATGGATTCCTGAGTGCAGAGCCAGGAGTAATCCCTGAGCACTGCAGGTTGTCTCCTGCACACCCCCACCTCCAAAAAAAGTAGAGGCATAGGCACATCCTCATGGCAACTGGGATAAACATTGACTAAGCAACCAGGAACTGGGGTTTAAGCTGCAAACTGTCACTGTCATTGTCCTCCCGTTGTTCATCGATTTTCTTGAGCGGGCCCAGTAACGTCTTCATCATGAGACTTTGTTGTTACTGTGTTTGGCATATCGAATACGTCATGGGCAGCTTGCCAGGCTTTGCCAAGAGGGCAAGATACTCTTGGTAGCTTGCTGGGCTCTCCAAGAGGGGCGGAGGAATCGAACCTGGGTCGGCCATGTTGGCTGCTTGCAAGTCAAGCACCCTACCCACTGTGCTATCGCTCCAGCCCTAAGCTGCACAATTATATAAGACATTATATAGGAATTATATAAGAAATAAAGATAAGATGCATAGATCTTTATTGGAGGCAGAGCTGGTCTGTGAGAAGCTGGGATCATGTTACCTTTTCAAGGGCTTGTTCTAGCAGTTCCTTTTGATCTGACTGGACATTGCCTTCTGCACTTGGATATTAGAACTTGGTTCGGACCCACCTTTTCCATCTCTAATTTTGTGTCTTTCAGGCTTAACCCCAGTGTGCCATTTACAACTCGTACGCTTGACAAGACCACAGTGCTGGGTGAATACACGTTACCCAAAGGAGTAAGTAGAGTGGGTACCCTCTGGATCGAACAGCACTTCTGTGTGGGGGTTTTATTTGGTGGATCACACCTGGTGATGCTCAGGATCATTCATAGTGGGGTTGAGGGGACCGTATGAGATGCCCAGGATTGAACCCGGATCAGCGGCATGCAAGGCACATGTCCTGTGCTCTATGCTAGCTCTCGTCCTACATGCGATGCTATCTCTCCAGCCCCTCATACAGAAATTATGAAATAAATACTTCCCAAATATCTTTCAGATCTCACTAAGCATTTTTGCTGGGTGAACATTTGCAGTGAAAATAGTAGATTATGGCAGACTGCGGACTCATTGTATGGGTTACATTAGGATTAATGGCTATGAAGGCATAAAGAGTCTGAATTCAACCCCAAATAAGTTCTGTAGTGCCTGTGACCCTCTCCTTGCTCACCCCCGAAACAGGAATAATGACAGAGTCTGCTAGTGGCTGAGAATCAACACAAGTTTGTTTTTTTTTTAATTTAATTTAATTTAATTTTTCTTTTTGGGTCACACCCAGCAATGCCCAGGGGTTACTCCTGGCTCTACACTCAGGAATTGCTCCTGGTGGTGTTTGGGGAACCATATGGGATGCCAGGGATCGAACCAGGGTCGACTGCGTGCAAGGCCAACACCCTACCTACTGTACTATTGCTCTGACCCCTCGATGCAAGTTTTAAAGTCCGTCACCATTTTACCAACTGGTTTCAAGGTCTTGGCTCCTGTTAGCCATCCTGGGCTTTTTATCACACCCACATGAGCGTTTTCTCTCCATCTGCTAGTGACCCCTCCTGGAACTGTGACGATTCCGGCATTTTCTTCTGCTTCCTTTACATGCTGCATGTTTTTGCTCTGCTTCCAGACTGTCTTGATGCTCAATACCCAGGTGCTGGGGTCCAATGAAGAAAGCTTTGCAGACTCCAGCCAGTTCCGACCCGAGCGGTGGCTTCAAGAGAATAAAAAGATTAACCCTTTTGCTCACCTGCCGTTCGGCATTGGGAAAAGAATGTGCATTGGCCGGCGGCTGGCAGAACTTCAGCTCCACTTGGCTCTTTGCTGGGTAAAGCCCCGTGGGGTTGAGGTTGGGGCAGCCGTGAGCTGGGTGCCAGGTAGGTAGGCGATGGGTAATTCTGCTCTGTGTTTGTCATTCAGATCATCCGCAAGTATGACCTTGTAGCCACCGACAACGAGCCCGTGGAGATGGTACACTCAGGGATCCTGTTACCCAGCCGTGAGCTGCCCATTGCTTTCTGTCAGCGGTGAGCCTCAGGTGAGCCTTGGGTGCAGGGGGGGGACCTAGACTCCAGGTGGAATGATCTCTGTTCACCCCTGTTCTTGGCTGGGCTCTGCAATTGCTGAATCCTCTGTTTATGCTTTGGTTTTTACTTGTAAAATGAGTATCAAATCAGCATCTGGGCCAAGATGTGGCTCCATGGGAAGCCCTGGGTTCCGTCCCCAGAAACACACACACACACACACACACACACACACACACACTCACACTCACACTCACACACAAACATGTGTATGCATGCAAACAAAAAGTTTATATCAACACTGAGTACTCAACCCAGTCAGACACAGCAAAGTGTTCAGTCAGTGATCGTTGCTATTACATATTTTATATGAAATATTAGGAAAGACATGGTTTGTCTGGTCAAAAGACCCATTGGCAATTTTTTAAAAATTTATTATTATTATTATAGTTATTATTTTTGTTTTTTGGGTCAAACGCGGGGGTGCTCAGGGGTTACTCCTGGCTCTGCACTCAGGAATTACTCCTGGCCGTGCTTCGGGGACCATATGGGATACTGGAAATCGAACCTGGGTCAGCCACATGCAAGGCAAATGCCCTCCCCACTGTACTATTGCTCCTGACTGAGGTTCCTAATTCTTTGCTGTCAGTGTATGGTTCTTTCTTTTTGTTTTTTAGTTTTTTTAATTAAAAAATTTTTTTTGAATCACTGTGAGATACAGTTACCAAATTTTCATGTTTGAGTTTCAGTCATACAATGATCGAACACCCACCCCTTCACCAGTGCACATTTTCCACCACCAATGTCCCCAGTATCCCTCCACCCCGACCCACCATCCCAACCCTCTCCCTGCCTCTATGACAATTTCCCTATCACTCTTTCTCTCTCTGCTTGTGGGCAGTATGGTGTGCAGTACAGATACTGAGAGGCCATCACATTTGGTCCTTTATCTACTTTCATCACACATCTTCCATCCCGAGTGACCCCTTCCACCATCATTGACCTAGTGATTCCTTCTCTATCCCAGCTGCCTTCTCCTCCTGCTCATGAGGCAGGCTTCCAACCATGAAACAATCCTCCTGGCCCTTGTCTCTACTGTCCTTGGGTGTCAGTCTCATACTATCATATTTTATATTCCACAAGTGAGTGCAGTCATTCTATGAGTGGATGGTTCTTTCCAGATTTGAGAGACCTCAGCATTCCCTAGCTCATGCTGGCTTCCTCCTTCTCCAGTGAGGTCTTCCTCGATGCTTGGAGTCTCTTGTCTCCTGCCTCCTCTGAGCGGAAATCTCTCTCATCTATAGAGCTGCTTTAGCCCAGTCGTTCTAGAAAATTAGGACTTGTATCTTTTAGGGGGCAAGGGGATTATTCTTCCTATGTAGGCTGTGTTCCAATAAAACTTTATTTAGAACAGGTGGAGAGGGAAACAAGGACAGAGAATTGTCCTTGATCCCAAGGTTTTCATAAGGTGTTCAGAGCCCTGAAGAGCCTCTATTTTCCGGATTGTATTAAGTACAGGGTAATTCCTTTCTGCAAGAGAACTTCGCTATCTTTTATAACCATCTATGAGTTAGAGCACTTTCCTGGCACCTGTCATATCAATCTGCTATCTGCAGTTTGTGGAATTACTGCTTAATTATCAACTTTATCACAGATCCCATGGCACTCTTGAGTCAGATTCCCATGCAATAATTTTCTTGACAGGTGTTTCAGTCTAGTTATTCTCTCTCGTTTTACCAGAAAATGAATTTTTAGGCCAAATAGATTTCTTAATGTCATCTTCTGTGGAAAAAGGAAGTAAGACTTTCCCAACACAGGTCAGGATTCAACCTCTGACTTTGTTGTTCTTCTTTTGACTGTCCTCACCTAGAATGTGCTAAGAATGAGTTGTCCCGTGTCGACCCTAAGTTAAGGGGGGCACATACTGATAGGTGACGAGTTTAGAGAAATCCAGATTGCAGATGAAAGTTCTACATGAGTCCCAGAGACTCGGAATCTCTCCAAGACATCAACTCCTGTACGTCCACTCAGAGCTAAATCAGGCAGGGAGAAGAGGACACTGCTGGTGACTTGTAGTTTCGTTTTTGCAGTTCTCCATATCCAGGAAGGCCAGCATTTTTAAAAAAAAAATAACTTCTGGGGGCTGGAGAGATAGATAGCACAGCGGGGAGGGCATTTGCCTGGCATGCAGCCAACCCGGGTTCGATTCACAGCATCCCATATGGTCCCCTGAGCACCGCCAGGAGTAACTCCTGAGTGCAGAGCCAGGAGGAACCCCTGTGCATCGCTGGGTGTGACCCAAAAAACAAAACAAAAAAATTAACTTCTTTGGTTTTTGAAGCCATACCCAATAATTGTTCTTGGGTCTTCCTGACTCTGCTCAGGGATCACTCCTGATGTGTGCTCAGGGGACAACATCCAGTGCCGGGGGTTGAATTGGGGTCGGCCACATGCAAGGCAGATACCTTAGCCACTGTCTTGTCTCTCCATTGCTCCAGCCCGATGGTGAACTGTTTTGTTTGTTCTTGGGTCATACCCAGCTGTGCTCAAGGTTTACTCCTAGTTCTGTGCTTAGGGATCATCGCTGGCAGTGCTCAGGGGAATCACACATGGGTGCTAGGGATCAAAGCAGGGTTGACTGTATGCAAGACAAGTGTCTTCACTCCTGCCCTCTCTCTCTAGCCAACCCCCCTACCTCGGCGCACACACTTGTGAGGGTGACTCTACCTGTGACCAGAATCTGTGGACCTTTTTTCATGGCAGCGATTGTTTTGGGGGTCACACCTGGAGATGCTCAGGGGTTATTCCTGGCTCTGCACTCAGAAATTACTCCTTGCAGTCCTCGGAGAACCCTATGGGATGCTGGGAATTGAACTCGGGTCAGTCGCGTGCAAGGCAAACACCCTACCTGCTGTGCTATCGCTCCAACCCTGGAAGCGATTCTTTTGTGTCGGGTGAACACCTCTCATTTCATTGCCTTTCCTGGATAATATAATTAATTCAGGTGTGTTTTATTTTTCAGATCTCTTCTCAAACTAAGATCAAGAGAAGCAATGTTTACCTTCCTGCAAGAATGGTGCTTATTATGGACTGGAGTGATAGGACAGTGGGTAGGGCATTTGCCTTGCATATGACTGTCCTGGGGTCAATCCCCAGCATCCCATTTGGTCCCCTGAGCACTGCCAGGAGTAATTCCTGAGAATAAAACCAGGCATGACCACTGAGCATCACTTGGTGTGAACAAACAAGCAAAAGAAGAAGAAGAAGAATGGTGCTTATGACTTCTGCATTACTGGAAAGCAAACGTCAAACCCCAGAGCACAAAAGAGCAATGTTTAGGTCTGCGTGTCTATACTCCACCCCCATCCCACCCCGACCCCATGCCATTGTTTTGCAAGTGCTGTGGTCTCTGCAGCCAATGGTCTTGATTCAGATCATCTCTGTCTCAGGGAAGTGAACCGAGTGCTGAAATTCAAGGCACTCTCTAGGGTCTGCCTCGATTTCCCCTCACTGGTGAGTCTGTCCTTTCCTCTGCTTTCTTCTGTGTCCAAGACTCGGTGCCCACCAGGTAGATAGTGGACTGCAATGACAGGCCTGTCTCCCGCCCTTCACTGCTTGAAGCTTCTCATGAGCATGTTCCATTTCTCAATGAAAGACCTGCCGCTACCAAACCGTCAGGCACTCTGGGTCCTATTGATTTACTGTGTTGACAATTTCCTGTAATCAAGTAACAGTAAATACTTGGTTATCTGGGGAAATGCTGGCACAGCCTCAGAACTCGGCATTGAAGAAAGCCACCAGACCTTGGGGAGGTTTTATTTTAGAAAAATGCCTCTATTTGAAGAAGTACATAAGATAGTCATAAGCTGTCATTTGAAAAGTACCTTAATGATTCACGGTGACACTAGCGTGTAAAGAATCCCCAGAGAGGGGCTGGAGAGATGAGAGAGCAGGTCAGACACTTGCCTTGCATGCAGCCAACCCAGGTTCATCCTCAAAATGGTCCTTTTGAGCCCTGCCAGGAGTTATCCCTGAGTGCAGAGACAGGAATAAACCCTGAGCATGGTCAGGTGTGGCTCAAGGACAAAAACAAAACAAAAAACCCAAAGAATCCCAAAGATTTACATTTCCTTATGCAGTAAACCTGTAGCACTGTAGCACTGTCCTCCCGTTGTTCATTGATTTGCTCAAGCAGGCCCAGTAACGTCTCCATTGTGAGACTTGTTACTGTGTTTGGCATATGGAATACGTCACGGCGAGCTTGCCAGGCTTTGCCGTGCGGGCGAGATACTCTCGGTAGCTTGCCGGGCTCTCCGAGAAGGGCGGAGGAATCGAACCGGGATTGGTCAGGTCGGCCGCAAGGCAAATGCCCTACCCACTGTGCTATCACTCCAGTCAACCTAGCATTGTAAAATTGTGTGTGTGAATTCTAACAGCAATGTTCTTAAGACTTTTTAAAAGACTTTTAAAAAAATTGTTTACAGTATTTGATGTCATATCTGTGACTGAGGCAAGTTCTTTAAAGTTCAGATGCCATTTAAAAATACTCAGTCTTCAGTGTGGCCCCTGAATGGCCCCTGTGTCAGGATCTGGGAGGTGACTCAAAGGGTTGGAGCTCCATGCTTTGCATGCCGGAGGCCTGGGTTCCCTCCCCAGCGCTGCTGGGTCCCCTGCGTGTCACAAAAAAGCAACCTCAAGCTCCAAGACAGTAGTAGCCCCTGAGTACTTCCAGTGTGAGCCCCCCAAAACAAAACAAAATCCAGGGTATCCTTAAGAAAATAAAGGTAGTATCAATTACATAATCTGATCACTTTCTGACTTATTATAGGCCAATAAATCTTTAAAAAAAAAGGAAAGAAAATTAAGGGAAACACATTTCCCACCTACAGTGTGGGGACAATAATAAGATAGACATGTATACATGATAGAGAACTATAATATTTGTCTGGTTATGGGGTTTAAAGCCCTTGGGGAAAATATAATTTCATTAGTGAAAAAGTGAGAATT